TGGAGCAAGTAGTAATGACAATAAATGCAACTTGGCACCTGGTTATCCTTAGGCCACAACACCTGAAAGTATTCTGCCACCAAGCATGCTCACTGCAAAAACTATGAATTGAGGAGACCTTAGCTGATGTACCGCTGCAAAAGAGATATATCTCTGGAAAGACCTGGCAACAAAATTGCAGTTTCCATCTAAGAAATACAGTATTTTGACACACTTGCCAGAATGCTATTTGTCTAGGTATAATATTATTATGCCTACGTAAATGAGCTGGGCGCTACACCATCAAAACAAAGATTGCACAATTAGGTTGTTGTAGGTTTTTTGGGCTGTTTGGCTGTGTTCCGAAGGTTTCTCTTCTTAACGTTTTGCCAGTCTCTTTGCTGACCGTAACATTTGTACAGTGGTGCCTCGCAAGACGAGTGCTCCGTTTCACAACGAAATCGCATTACAACGAAGTTTTTGCAATTGCAAAACGATGTTTCCTATGGGGGAATTTCGCTTTGCGATGATCCGTTCCCTGCTTCGGGAACCGATTCTCGCAAAACGATGATTTTTGGCCAGCTGATCAGCAGCTTCAAAATGGCCACCGGGTAAAAAAAATGGCTCCCCGCTCTTTTCTGAGACGGATTCCTCGCTGCATGGGCAGGGAAAATGGCCGCGCTATGGAGGATCTTCGCTGGACGGTGAGTTTCAAGCCCATAGGAATGCATTAATCGGGTTTTAATGCCTTTCTATGGGCTTTTTAATTTCGCTTTACGATGTTTTCGTTCTACAGCGATTTCGCTGGAACGAATTAACATCGTAATGCGAGGCACCACTGTATTTTTGTGATGGGCCTGAATACTGTTTGTAGGTTGCGTTTTTTCAAAAATTTCCCCATGCGGTCAGTGACCCCTTTGATGTATGGCAGAAATACTTTATTTGTGGGTGGCTGTTTTTCTTCTTCAGTTCGGTGTTGCTTTCTTGGTTTGATGGCTCTTGTAATTTCATTCTTAGAACAGCCATTTCCCTGTAGGGCCCAATTCAGATGGCTGAGTTGGGAGCTGAGAAACTGAGCTTCACAGTTCTGATTTGCACGGTCTACCAGTGTTTTGATTATGCCTTTTTTTTTGTTGTGGGTGGTGGTTGGAGTTTTTGTGTAGACCTTGGGTTTTCTGTAGACCTTGTGTCCCAATAGGAGGTTTGCATATGACCATGATAAAGGACAAAAGGGGCCCCTCACCACTGGAGGAGTATACTGGATACCTTGAAGTTGCAGCCAGGTATATACTGTATTGGGACCACAAAACATAACATCCAACAACAGAATCAAAGGACATGAAAGACACTGCAGTCCAAAACAATCGGAAAAATTGACAGTAGCTGAACATGCCCTGAAACAAGTTGGACGTGAAATCCTATTTCAAAACACAGGAGTACTGGACAACACCAGCAATCATTATGGTAGACTACACAGGGAAGCCATCGAAATCCACAAACATCAGCAGAGCTTCAGCAAAAAATAAGAAAGTCTAAAACTCAACAAAGCCTGGCTCCCAGCACTGAAGAATACAGCCTGAAAAAGGTCAACGAACTCTACCCAGCCACAAGGACTGGTGATCTTTGCACACAAAAGACCAGCTAATGACACCCATCTATCACAGTGACAGACCATCCCCCCCTTATCTCAACAATACACCCATAGCAAAAAACACCCTGATCACCATAATCACCCAATCTCCTGAAAAGGACAAAAAACTGATCCCACAGCTTCAAATACTCAATTATCCCGCACACTACATCAGAACACAGACAGAGTTCTTACTCCTATCCTCTAATGATGCCAGCTGCAGAGACTGGTGAAATATTAGGAAGAAAAACCTTCAGAACACAGCCAAACAGCCTGGAAAACCTACAACCACAGAATCATATTTTCACAGAGTTGGCAGAGACCACAGGGGCCATTGAGTCCAACCCCCTGCCATGCAGGAACACCATCATCCATCATCAAACCATTTGATCCTAGCCGTGAAAGTCTTCGAGAATACATTGCACAGTTTGATTGCACAGTTGGTTGAACAGTTCCCATTGTGGTTGATTATGTCACATAGCTGCAGAAGTGCTTTGTGAATAGCACTTCCATTTTGCTTACTACCACATTGTGTAACACTGAGTTACAGGTAGGTAGCTACCAACAGGATTTCAACCACTTGGTAATTTCAATTTGGCTTTTATCTGACCCCAATTGACTGAGCCTAATGAGTTTACTAAATTATCAGCCCAATTCCCAGATGGAGGACTCAGGTTCTCTATGTCACCCCCTTCCCCACCAGCCAAGCAGGAACATATCCATTTTGAACAAAGGCCAAGTGAAGAGGTATGGGAACACACATGGCCTGTGCTTCTTTGTTGGAGAACTGGGTTGTTATACTCATTCCATAGTTGCCTAAGCTGTAACCACAAAACAGCAACCTCCCCAAGAACTCCTAGACTAAGAGCAACTTTCCTGGCAAAATACATCTTGCCATGTACATTTGGACTTTACGCTTTGGATTTTTTAAATTCTTCACAGTGGTACAAACCTGATAAAATGGTTTTAACCCATGAAAGCTTGTTTATTGTATGATTTTTCCCCCTCATGGTCTATAAAGGTATCACCTATTTTTTCATTTGTATTTTAGAGTTTTTTTAGTCACTGTGTTAATACTGGACATATTTCTATTATAAACTTAGTGGAATTTATTTTCCTATTTCTATTGTGGACAGCTGAACCTGCAGGCAAAAGAGGCGAGCCTTTAAAAACAGAGAACACTAATCTTCTTGGAATGAGACTGGAATCCCTACCCCACACAGGCAGTCTTTGTCTTCAGCCATCTAGCTGAAGTGGGAAAGTTATCCCCCTACACTTGTTGAAGCAGTCCTCTTATCACCCCTCACGGCCAGCTGTGCTAGCTAGAGCTAATGAAGTTGCATTACAGTACCTGGGGCTGGAGGACACAAGCACCTCTGTAGAGATTCAGGATCTAGTAACTATACACCCCTTTGCCTGTTTCCAGGTTACTACCTTCTTGCTAACAGTGCATAGTCCCCCTTTTGTCATCCCTATGTGCAGTTTTGTATCAGTCCTTTTTCCTTCCTCCTCCACTCACTGGATTCTTGTTCTTTTTAATACTCCTCCTAACTCTTCATCTCTCTGGTACTCCCCCCCCTTTACAGGATCTTGATACCTGGTTTATTTTTAGTGCTGTGATGTTTTGTTGGGAACCTCTGTTATCTTAGTTCATTATCTCCTTTCCCCTCAAATGTTATTCATCACTAGGGGAAGGATTTCTGTGACATATTTTTTTTCTGCAACCTATTTTTGAGCTTATTGGTGGGTTTGAACATGTTTATGACTAATCTGGTGAAAAAGACCTATGTGGCGGATGCCCAAGTCGCTCCTGTCAATTACAGTGGAACCTCATGCGCAGGAGCCAATGAGAGGACAGGAGAGGCAGAAGTTTAGTCAGCTAGACAGTTGGAGAGTTAGAGGAGGAGGAGGAGGAGTGAGGTTTGCTGAGAGAGAGATAGTCACAGATAGAGAGATATTACTAATAAATAGACACTGGTTAAATTGAAAGTAAGTAAACAAGAAGTGATTTAATGTGGAACATATGATATGATTGTGATCTAATGAACATGAACAAAGACCATCTGTGATTCTGAGTTACCCTTTCATACCCTTTAATAAAACTAATTCTGTTATTGGCAGCAAGTGTGAGAGTACAGTAAAGTTCTTTACTGTATGGATAAGTGAAATCCACTGGTGGCAGCGAGAAAGAAGGAATGTCGCCAGCGTGGACCTGGTTGAGGGAAACAAACAGGGACACGGGGTGTACGTCACAGGCCAGATTATTCATAAACATATTTGAACTTGCTTATGGGTTCAAATGTAGGTTGCAGAGAAAATTTGAAATGTCATAGAAATCCTCCCCCTATTCATCACCTACACTTCCTCTACGTCCCACCTCCGTCCTTCCCACTTTTCTATTTTATATGCTTGTTAAAAACCTCCTAAACTTTGGTCTCCTTGGTTATTTGTATCTTCTTCTCCCCAGTCCCAACCTCATTCTACACATGTTTTTAAATATTAACCAACATGACACATTTCCCTCGCTTCACTGAAGTCTGACTGCAAGTTATTTAGTTCTCTGAACAGTTCAGTTTCTTACCATCTCACTCAATCTATGTCAGAAACTTGGCTACACCATATACACAATGCAGTTTGGGTAGATGTGTTGTGTACTGAAAGTGGGAGCACAAATTTAAAATTCCACTAAGAAAATGCAATTTACTATTTCAGCACACTGCTAAGCAAACATCTCAGCTGTATAATGATTTGTTTTATTTGTTATAAAGCAGTAATCTTAATAAAATAAATCATATGTAATCCTCATAACTTTCAAAATTCATACTATGAAAATGTCCTTTCTGTTTCATAAAGTTATGTTATTTTTTCTTCAGATGTTGCCTAACCTAAAATATTCAGATTTTCTTTTCGTTATAAATTTTGTAAAATCCAATGAAGCTATTCTAACATCATGACTGGCTATGTCCCGGTTAGCATTTTCAGTACTCTGAATTCAAGTGTGATACAAAAATCCAAATGAAATACTAAAATACAAAAAGGAAGAAGAAAGGGGAAGAGCAAAAATATAAAAGTAATTCTTAAATCCTTAAAGCAATCCTTAAGTAATCCTTAAAGCAACGCAACACTTAAAAATGCTCTTGCGATTATTAGTGTGGATTGGGGTAGAAAAAGTGTGGATCCAATCCACCCACTGTCATCAAACAAAGATATCACTGTGAAACTGAAGGATCAATTTATGTCCATAAATAAAACTGTGGTCAACCTTCACTGAAGCTGATCACCTTTTCAATGGATGTGCTAATATGTTGTTATTGTTTATATGGTGTTTCATAACACATTAAGAAGATACATGAAGGAATACAAAATTTGATTAGATGAAAATTAAACATGGTTAGTCTCAATGAAAGGAATTTAATAAATGTTTCACCTTTCACTGAAATTAAAGAGAGTTCAGCAAATGCAAATTATGACATATTTCCTCAGAAATAAGTTCCTTTAAAGAACTAATAAAGAATAATTTGCACATACAATATGGATATATTTAAACAAACAAGGGAAACAAAACCTTTTCCAAACATCAGCTTCCTTCATAGTATGGCATGTTGCTTTTTAAATTTAGTAAAATAACAACCAAAATTTCAATTTTACTCAGTGAGATTTGTACAATATAGGAAAAATCCAATTAAACTGTATGAGAGATTTTGCATATGTTCAAAAGTAAATCTATTTTAATTCAAGTCCCTCATTCAAATTGCAGTTCTACACATAAAGGAAGAATACTTCAAAGGTAATACATTACATGGTTACATTCTAGCATAATTTTAAAGGATATGAACTATCTGGAAGATGGCCAATAAAATACTCAAATTTGTTGACTACATAATTCAGTATTTCTGAAACACTGTATCCCATAAAAACTATGAAAAATTACTGGCTAACAAGTACTGTATTCTAAAACCCCTTATTACATCATACTTCTTCAGTGAAGTCTGCTGAAATCAACACAAGCAATAATAAGGTCATATAGTCCTAGCCAATGGACAATCCCTTAGTTGTCTGCCGGGCTCCTACTTCATTGTTCTTCTCAATGAAAATATCTTCTCAGTATCAGCTGGTCATATTTTCAGTTGCCTAGGAAGAATAATGTAGTTATATGGATTCAGTAAAAATGAAAATTAACATTTTCAGCTGCCCTATTGAAAAGGCAGAATTATCAAGTGTATAAAATTATTGGGATGGCCTAGATGCTCAAAGCATGGTAGGAATGAAAACAAAACAATAATTCTTGAAGTTAGTGCAAGAAAGGTGTCACGGTAAGTGTCCTGAGCACCTGCTTAAATGTGAAACAAGAAACATCCAAATATTATGGGACAGAGAAAGTAGGGTGTTGTTTGCTGCCCCTGCTGTTGCATCAGGCCAAGAGATTATGCGGTATATGCATGCAGACACCTAGCACATGCAATGCTTCTTGATCATGTAGGATAATAAATTGTAAGGGAATCTACATGTGCATAACAGGCTTTCTGCTTCAGGCTCCTTCCACAACTCTACACAATATATTGGAGAGGATCGAAGCCCGACTTTCACCAGTATGATAACAACTTGGGGCAGGGGATGGTACTTGTAAGATAGTTATGTGTAGCAGAAATACCAGGCTACCCATGCCAAGTCATTTAAAAAAAGTGTTCCCTTCTGTTCCACTAACCTGATCATTAGTGTTCTAAACTTTCTACAGTGGCGCCTCGACTTACGAACATCCCAACATACAACCATTTTGAGTTACGACCAGCTGTAGCTGCAAAATTTTGCTTTGACTTGCAGCTGGAACTTTGAGCTACAACCAAAAAAAGGCAGGGAATTCAAATTGCTAAGCATTGGTAGGCTAAGAGGCTGCTTCTTTGTAGATCTTTCACCCCAACAGCTAGAGAGAATGCGATCGGAGGAGGCTTCAGACTGCCTGGTAAGGTAAGGTGCTGCTTTATGCTTTTAAAAATCTGTTCTAGGTGGGTTTTGCAGCGTGGTTCTGGGCTGGGCTGGGTTGATGATTTTATGCTCGTATGGATCTTGGTGGGGGGTTTGTGTTTTTTGGGTTTCCCTTCCCCCATTTCCGATGGGTCCTGCAGGGTTTGTTTGCTTTGCTTTTTTTCATTTCCGATGGGTCTTGCACACTTTGCTTGCTTTCTGTTGTGCTTTTTTGCATTTCCAAAGGGTCTCGCATGGTTTGCTTGCTTTCTGCTTTACTTTTTTGCATTTCCGATGGGTCTTGCAGTTTGCTTGCTTTCTGCTTTGCTTTTTTTGCATTTCCGATGGGTCTTGCACGCTTTGCTTGCTTTCTGCTTTGCCTTTTTTTTGCATTTCCGAAGGGTCTTGCATGGTGTGCTTGCTTTTCTCCCCCCCCCCGGCCAGAATGGATTAATCACATTTCTGATGGGTCTTGCAGTGTTTTGGGGGGGGGGTTTGATGATTTTTTTTCTTTGGTCGGAACAGATTAATTGCATTTCAATGCATTCCTATGGGAAATGGTGCTTTGACTTACAACTATTTTGAGTTACAACCATCTTCTGGAACGGACTATGTTCGTAAGTCGAGGCACCACTGTAATAAGGAAAAGCATTAATACTGCATTGATCTCTTGGGCACTGAAGAGAGGGTCAGAAGCAGGCCTGGATCAAGCTTTGGCATCTTTCTGCACCTATCACAGATGATAAGATTTATACCAGCTATTTTGTCTGCAAATTCTTGCTTCTGCTTTGATAGCTAAGAAGGAAAAAAATCTTTCTGCGCGCATCTCTTTTGAGTGTGATTAAGTTCAGTGGGTGAACTATGATTTACACTTTTCCCTCCACAAATATGCATAGACATTAACTATTTTTAGAGCAATGTAATCTCACTTGCCATAGCAAAATCGGTGTAAATGTATTCCAGGCAGCCACATTCTGCTCTGTTTTGCACTTATGTAGGCAGACCCTGTGAATTGTGGGGCTAATCTACAAGGGGGTGGTGGGGCTTTTTGGGAAAAAAACTCTTAAGTTTAATACCCCACGAGCGGCCCAGCCATATTATGGAACTAGGAGTCATCAAATTGCAGGCCTCTTACCTCTACTTTGTTCCTACGTTGTTTCTTTAAAAGACACACCACACCCTCCATAGGGACTTGACTCCCCATGCACCCTTACAAATCGCAGGGAATCCTCACAACTCACAATGGTGCAATGAAAGAGTTTTCTGAGATGAAAAGAAACAGCACAGGAATGGCATGGAAGTAAAAGAGTTGCTCTACCCTTTTCAGTTTGATGGCTTCCACTCCTATAATTTGGCCTAGGTAATTCCTGCCTAATTATGGGAATTTTCCTTTTCCCTGAAATTCTCACCCCTACACTTGCAACTGTTTGATGTAAATGCTAATTTCAGATGCAATTTCTGCTGTAAAGTTCTGTTCTACAGCAAAATGGGGAAAAAGCAGGATGGGAGCTAGTCTTCATGTGGCTTTGAATATTTATGTGTACCAAAAAATCCAAAAACATCCACTTCCCTGCAAGAAAAAATAATTTCACTAGTGTTGTTGACATACTTGTTTTACAAATGTTCTGTTAATTTTTTAAATTTTCTATAGGATTAAGCATTCACCTAAATCCAGATATTAATCCCAAACTAAGCACACCTGCTGAATCAATGGAATTTACAATAGAGTTGATGTTTTCATAGATTTAATAGGTCTTCTGAAGTTGAGACTAATAATTTAGGTCATTATCTTAATCTCAACAGAGAAAGTAGAACTGATCGCATGTCTCCTCAGAACTACATCTGACTGTACTAAATGGCTCTTATTCCTTAAAGCAGTGGTCCTCAACTTTGGGCCTCCAGATGTTCTTGGACTTCAACTCCCAGAAATCCTGGCCAGCAGAGGTGATAGTGAAGGCTTCTGGGAGCTGAAGTCCAAGAACATCTGGAGGCCCAAGGTTGAGGACCACTGCCTTAAAGGATTTAGAGTTGCCACCAAATTTACTGTAAATATAATTTGACATATCCATCTCATTAGTAGCCCCAGGACTCATTAATTTTCATAGCTGGAACAAATCCTAAGTCTGCAACATTTTGTGCGCCTACTTAGAAAGAAACAAGCCAGACCAATCCCACTCACACTTGCTTCCAAGTAAGCATGCAAAGGTCAGGCTGCAAATTTAAAAGGAAACTCTGCTTAACTGGAGGATATATATTCAGGTATGGATGCACATACCCCTTACAAACTCAAATCATAGGGCAACATCCTGTTGAATATTTACATGCACATGTTTTAATTGCAAAAGCTGCCATGGTGACCTGGCATGGCATCTGATGTTTGGCAGTTTATGTGCAGCCAGCACCAACTCAGACTGCTGCACCAGCTTGTACAGCTGGAGCTTTTCATGCACACAAGTATCAAACAAATACTGGGCATAGTTATCTGTTAAAAAAACAGCAGCAGGAGGAGGAAAAGCCCAATGTGAATGACAGGCTACAAAAATTGTTGTTAAAGAAGTCAGTATTTGAGGACAGTTCAGATTTTTTAAAAATTATGATTTTGGAAAGTATGATAAATAGGTGTGTATCAAGTTCAGATTATGTTCTCATGACACCAAGTAAAGAAATGTGCTGGTTTTCCATACATTTTCATACCTTTAGGGCTTCTGTTGCCTTGCGTAGCTCTTTAATTACAGCAGATAATGCCTCTGGGTTTATTCCTTGTTCACAAAGACGTACACAAATGGAGAGAGTTTCCATGTCTAAGCCAGTGTTTAGTATTCTTGATATCTCAAGTAGAACTGAAAAATATTTTCAAATGAAAGTTCAGTGTTTGTTTTTCCATTGATAATTTCTTGTATGTACATAATTTTTCAAAGGCATACTCATAAAAAAACAGAAGTGTAATGTCAGCTGTGAAGTATGAGACAGAAGTACTCTAGGGATCTTCCACAATGATTGTTAAAAATCTATCTGATAGAGTGAAGTTATACTATACAGTTGTGTTCAAAATTATTCAACCCCCACTGAAATTGAATGTTTTGGCCATTTTGACATTGATTTTGATCATTCAGTCATCTTGCTTACATTTACATGAAAGAGGCACTTGTAGGTCAGAGAAATATAACCTTAAGTTTATAATGAAATAACCACAAATGTGTTTTCTGTGCTCACATCATTATTAGTTTTTATTCAACCCCCAAGTGACATTCAATCTTAGTACTTAGTACAACATCCTTTTACAGTTATAACAGCTTTTAAACATGAAGCATAGCTTGACACAAGTGTCTTGCAGCGATCTACGGGTATCTTCGCCCATTCTTCATGGGCAAAAGCCTCCAGTTCAGTCAAATTCTTAGGCTTGCGCACTGCAACTGCTTTCTTTAAGTCCCACCAGAGGTTCTCAATCGGATTTAAGTCTGGTGACTGCGATGGCCACTCCAAAATGTTCCAGCCTTTCCTCTGCAACCATGCTCTAGTGGACTTCAACTCTCATGGTGGTGGTACAATCATGTCCACTGGATTCCTTAAGTTATAGAAGTAATGGAAAATAGATGCACATGCTCCTATACATTTTTAATCTGTCAGAGGAAACAGTCATTGGACACATTCCCAGGCCAATTTACCTCTTACCCAGCCACAAGGGCCAGAGATCATTGCACAAAAAGACCAGCTAACGACACCCATCAATCACAGTGACAATTAAACTCTCCCTCCCCCCCTCACAAAAAAAAAATTCTGATCACCCTATCTCCCGAAAAAAGAAAAAAAAACCCTTCCCACAGCTATAAATACTCAACTATCCTCCCCCCCCTCACAACAAAAGCATGCTGATCTCCTGAAAAAAGAAAAAAAAACTTCCAACAGCTATAAATACTCAACTATCCAACAAACAGCAACAGAGCATGGACAGAGTTCCTACTCCAGTCCTCTGAAGATATCGGCCACAGAGACTGGCGAAACGTTAGGAAGAACAACCTTCAGAGCAAGGCCTAAGAGCTGGAAAAACCCACAACAACCATTAGATCCCGGCCCTGAAAGCCATTACTCTGCTTCAGGGCTTCCCCAGAAGCCCCGGGTTGGCCACGATGGGAAAGGAGATGGATCTGAAGTCCGACGTGAAGGCAGGAGCTCTTCTTAAAAACCAACCTCAACCCACCCACCCACTCGCCACAGTTAGAAACAATGACAACTCGGGGACCATAAGCTCTATTGGGAGAGAGGAAGAGACAGAGGGAAGGGGGGGCCAAAGACCCCTCAGAGGGGCAGGAAAAGGGTTGGAAAGCCTCCCCCAACAACCTCCCCCCCCTTCCCCTCCGAAGGGAAGAGCAACAGCCGGCGACTCTGTGTGCGTGTGCGTGTGTGTGAGAGAGAGAGAGAGAGAGAGGTATTTTTCCTGTCATGACCCTGAGGCCTTTCCTCTGTGTGTGTGTGTGTGTGAGAGAGAGAGAGAGAGAGGTATTTTTTGTG